CCGTCCGTCCGTCCGTCCGTCCGTCCGTCCGCCTGTCTGTCGCTCCGTCTGACCGTCCGTCCGTCTGTCTGTCGCTCCGTCTGACCGTCCCTCCGTCCGTCCGCCTGACCGTCGCTCCGTCTGACGCAGATATGGCCTTCGTTAGTATTACAAGACTTTGTAGCAGTCTTCTTTGACATCGAGAATGCAGAGCCATGCCATGTTATAGCCAGGAGGCAAGGAATACTTCGGGACTCTGGGGGACTTAGAGGACAACTTCCTCTGTTCCTTCTGAACTTCCTCTCTTCAAGAGATTTTCGAGCCCGCGTTGGCGGAAAACTATCTTCCTGTCACCCTTTGGAAAATGGAGTTCCTCAGGGGTCAGTTCTGAGTGCCCTTCTGTCATTGCAATTAACGACAGTCGTACGAGAACCTTTAAAGGTATGTCTTTTTGTTGCAAAAACGGGATTTAAGTTCTACACCACAAAATCAAAGTGCACTCACTTCCGCATGATAGATCACCTCTACAATCACCCAATCTGTTCCTTGGAAACCAGCAACTACCATTTGTTGACGCATCTGACTTTCTTGGTCTGATGTTCGACAAAAGCCTGACACAGTGTAAACATGTCTGCAACCTTCTGAGCCAATATGTATCACCATTAAACGTATTTCGGAACCTTAGTGGTACCTCATGGGGCACTGATTTACATGATTCTTACGGTTATATAGGACACTTATTCAATGTGTTTTGGACTATGGCAGCATTGTATACAGCTCCGCATTACCTTTGAATTTACGACCTCTCAATACTATTGACCATGCCGGAATCCAATGCCAACAATTATCATCAATCACTCTCACTCTTTTCTCATTCACATCACAGCTGTGCCAATTAATGTTTCTAAATTATATATTTTATTTTATAGGACATCTGGAATGAAAGGTTCCATTACTACCAATGGCCAGGAACGTAATCTCCGACATTTCAGCAAGCTTTCTGCCTATATTATGCAAGACAATCAGTTGCATGGCAATCTAACAGTGGGAGAAGCAATGCACGTTGCAACAGGTCTTAAGCTTGGCAAAGATGTAGATAAAGAAGAAAAAGTTGAAGTGGTATGATTCATTATTTTACCTATGTTATGATGTGTTGTGATAGGAATCTAATATTTTCTTTTTGATAATTTCAAACTTTGTGATAATTAATACTTACATGAGAAAAACAAGATGTTCTCGTTAAACTTGCAAGGAATGTCAAATATGCTGAATTAATATGTTTTCACAGAAAGCTTGTCGAAAACAAAGTGCAGCGACTTCTTTTCAACAAGAATATGCGTATGCAGATTGTATTAAAATAAATGTGACATAGTTGCGTTCCTGAAGCCATAATTTGCACGTTCAGAGGGTTATTGGAAAGAAATATGGAGGAATTTTTTTAATTATTATATGACTTTATTAGCAATATCAACTGTATGATTCCTATGTTTTTTGTTTTTTTTAAGATATGACAAAAAGAAATTTTCTTCTAATGAAAATATTTCGCTCACTTTGCTTCATAATTTAGTATTAACTTTTATTGGATGACCATTGGATTCCGTAGAACTGACAAATGAAGGTTTCTCTTAATCCATAAAAAAAATCCCACGAACAACACTTTTCCTCCCTTCATTGAAAAGCTTTCTAATGATATCTTTTTCAACTAGATCTATGCATCACTAGGCAACCTGTAATATATTGATATTCATTTCTGCCATCTTCGACTCTTTCCTTCAGCTGCTGTATGGCAAATCTGTTGTAAACACAGCATTATGCAAAGTGTGTTCCAATAAAAATTATTGATTAGGTAAAATTAAATACGGTATACAACATACAATATTTTATCGTTTCCAGACTGTAAAATGCAATTTGATCAATTACAAAATAAATCTAGTATCTGAAAAGTAGTTATACCAAGTTCTTTCAGATTGTAACCTCATGTGTGGTTGAAAGACAAGTTGATAAGCTAATCTATAAGTTGCCGAAAAGAAAGGTATAGGTGAACCGTGAGCCATCTTATCCTGTTTTCAGAGATGTATTTCTGAAAAAAAGAACTGCGACAGTGTAGATAAGCAGATATGTAAAACACAGTTTCAAGTGAGGCTGAAGTGCTGATGAGATGCTCATTTTATTCAGCTACAGTTTGATGAGAATGAAATATATTTCATGTTAGCAGAAACACCTGCAGATGCAATGAAAGTTATAAAAAAACATCACTGAGAGCAACACAAGAATACTCTTCGAATGGGAATTGTTTTGGCACCCGTTTATAATGTTCGACACACTAGAGATAATAATAATATTATATTATTATTATTATTATTATTATTATTATTATTATTATTATTATTATTATTATTATTATAAAACATTAATAACCTCAGATCAGAAATATTTCTTCTTCGCCATACACCACAAATAATTTTTACTGTTCTTTGACTAAAATACATCAGTTTTGAAATTTATCCTTTTTCGGATATTCAAGTCTTATCAGACCAGTGCCAGTTTCATTAAGCGTATTTTGAGAACATTCTGAAAATTCTTAGAGGCTGTGTGTGAAGTACACAACGAAACAAAATTTAAAAAATATGAATATTTTAACCCAGTGCCCAAAATCTGGTCTTCGAATTTGTTGCAGTATTTCATATCTTGATCTGCGTGTACAGGTGTTCAGACTTACCTGCACCAAAAGACAGCACCATATGCACCATTTGATTTCCTAGCTTTCTAGAGTTCACGGGCTCTGCATCAGAGCATCTGGCACATGTGTAAGGATTGAACAAAATGTTCCAGAGTGGCTGTACATCACTGGACATCTTTTGACTAGAACAATCTTTGGAAAAGTTATGGAGAAATAAGTAAATACTTATTGCTCCAAAAGCTACATTAATTCCCATTTTCTTTACTAAAGTCAAGAAATCATACATTCAAATGATATACAACAGTCATATTGCAAATTGCCAATTGAAAGTAAAATTTATCATTCAGAATAAAAATATCATTGTTTCGTAATTATGTTTAGTGCAACAACTGCATTAATGTTAATAGACAAAGATACATACCTGTTAAAAGAGCTGTTCTCCTGTAAGAGAGAATATTTCCTGGTCTGTAACTCTTTAAGATTCCAGTGCTGTCTGGTGTAATAGGTAGTGGTTGTCTGCCTCTTGCAAACTGAATTTATGAGAGTTTACGTGGAAACCATACATATGAGCAATTGCAATATTTGTGTAATTTCTGATGCAGGATGTCAAATTTCAAACTATTTGGTGATGTTTGAGGTAGCCACAACTCTTGGTTTCAATTTAGTGCAGGTAAAACCTGTATATATAGAGTAAGTCATATAGAAATAAAAAAACTCTTTTCTCCATATAGAATTCTATTTTGTATAAAAGTAAAATTACACTTCTTTCAACAGTTGCAAAGGAAATCTTAAGAAGTTTCTGGTAATCTCAAATGTTTTTAAATTTAAGCGAGCCCAAAATGTCACATTTTCAAAAAGTGCTCACGCATCGTCCAGAAATGGCTCTATTTTTTTTTCTTGAAAGTTTTCGTGAATACAGTTTGTTCCCGTCCATGATGTCCAGGAAGTTTCATTTTGATTCAACTATCGTATTCAGAAATGATGAAACAATTGCATTAAAAAAAACAGTATCTATAATATCTGTGTTACAGCAATGAAATGTAAACCTTTTTATTCATTAAAATATTCTCTAAATATTCTATTCTACAAGTTTTTGTACATAGTTGATGATTTTTAAGAAAAATGTTTATTAAAATAATGTTAACTAAAATAAGTAGGCTACTAACTTTTTTTTATAAAAAGGAATGAAAGGGGTGGAAATTTGAAAATTGATAAATATTAATTGTTCTTGGTCCCAAACACAGTTGATTCAAAACATTTGAGATCGTTCTTACTTTCTTATTGCACTATAGCCTTTTGTTGAATAAAGTATGTAAATAAAACTTTAATGTGTGCAGGTGAAGATAGGTGAGAATGTCTGAAAAGTAGCATATAAGATTGCAAAAAAAAAAAAACACAAAAGAATTTAATAATATTTTATCGCCATTACAAACAGTTTTGAGAGAGTGGCTACCCTGCTATTTTCTAAACTGTGAAAATGAAAGGGAACAAATTTCTTGTTTTCAAATGCTCTATACTCTTCGCTCTTTGGTACTTTATTCATAATTCAACTATGTGTAGTAAAAGAGGGGGTTGTGATTTAGATTTATTGGGTAAAAAATTTTAAAAAACTGTATGTGACATATAAGGGGAGAAGATCACCTGGTGATTCTACAACTTAACAAAATTTGTAGTGATTGTATTCCCCCCGCCCCCTCTTTCACTATCACATACAATTTTTTCTGCTTTGACAAATACACAAATTGATATTATGTTTGAGAAGACTACCATTTCAGCCATTTGACTTTGAATTTATCAGATTCAATACAATGGCACCATTGTTTCTTGAAAAATTACTAGAATTGGAGAAAATGCCAGCAATTGTGCTTTCACTGGAATAGTAACCAAAATTGCAATCATTGGACAACACATTGCATTCAAGTAAAAAGTCAACTTACTTGCAGTTTGCATAATTAACTTTTAATAAGCATTGCCATTTAGCGTGATAGTGCTTCGTACAAGCTTTCTGATGTAAACATAGTTTGTCAACCTTGTTAGATTGCAAGGACTTTTATAGAATGTCAAATATCAACTTCATTGAATATATAGATTTATTTGTTACAAAGATTATTGAAACTTGTAATTTGAATTATCACTTAATAATTTAATTAATAATAAAAAATACACCTTTTTCAAACCAGATTAAAGAAATTCTCGAAACTCTTGGCTTGCTTGAGCACAGCCGAACAATGACTTCTAACCTATCTGGAGGACAAAAGAAGAGGCTCTCAATTGCCTTAGAACTTGTTAATAATCCACCTATTATGTTTTTTGATGAACCCACCAGGTATTTTATTGATTTTTTTCTCTTTCTTTTTTGCAGCATCTTTAGTATTCATTCATATATGAAGATATTTGTTATTCTTATTTTCAGTGGTCTCGATAGTTCATCGTGCTTTCAATGTATATCTTTGCTAAAATCATTAGCTCGTGGAGGTCGCACAATTATATGTACTATTCATCAACCAAGTGCGAGATTGTTTGAAATGTTTGACCACTTGTATACACTAGCTGATGGACAGTGTGTGTATCAAGGATCTACACAATCCTTAGTACCATTTATGGCTACATTAGGACTTGTATGTCCTAGTTATCATAATCCAGCATCTTTCAGTATGTATTCTTAACTTTCTGTTATAATCTTTTTTCATGCTTGAATTATATTGGTGTGTTTTAAAACCACTTTACTAAATGTGTCTTTTTCCATTATTGTTCAGTAATTGAAGTAGCCTGTGGTGAATATGGTGACAACACTCGAAAACTAGTAAATGCCATCCAAAATGGAAAACATAATATTCGTGATGGTAAATCATTTCCTACTGGTCCTATTGAAAAACTGAATAATGCCTCTGAAGATAAGGTGGGAGATGCAGAGGAGAACCGAAATATTGCTGTAGATCCCTCGCCAAGTGACAATAAAGATGGCAAAAGTTCATCAGGAAATGTCAATTTATTTGCTTCTTATGTTACTAATGATATTGCTAAGGATTCAGAAGGTGAATTTTCTTATTTAATGTTTATTTGAAAAGTTCCTTATTGTTTTTATTTCTGTAATTTCAATATATTTTTTCAAAATGCCTGTCTATACTTCAGGTTTTCTTTTTTTGCCCAATTGTTATGTTGACTTTAAATAGTGAACCTAAATTAATTTCTTTTAAAGAATTTAATATTTTGCATTTGGAACTCAGTTGATAAATTATTAGTTTAGATCTATTTCAATGTTATTTTTAATAATAACAATAATATTAATAATTATTATTATTAATAATTGAAGTATTTTATTGAAATAAGGTGTACTGCCCTTATTCTGAGTATTAATTATTACGAGTTCTAATCAGGTACTGGAGATGGTCAGAGCAGAGTGGTTATCCCTATGGATTTGTCCATATCAGAAAAGCAAGACAATGTACAAACACCTCTCATGAATACAGGAAATCAGAAACTCCAACCTTACCCCATTTCAGAAGCCTTGCAGTTTTGGTTGGTTCTGAAGAGAACTCTTTTGTTCAGTCGAAGAGATTGGGTATGATTTTTCATAAGACATTTATGGATTTTTTTTTTAATGTTTATAAATTAATTCAATGTCTGATGATAATGAAATATATCCTTTTTCAGACACTGATGTACTTGCGTCTTTTTGCCCATATACTTGTTGGATTGCTTATTGGAGCTTTGTATTATGATATTGGAAATGATGGAGCAAAAGTTCTAAGTAATCTTGGATTTTTGTTCTTCAATATGCTTTTCCTTATGTATACATCTATGACTATCACAATTCTGTCATGTAAGTCAATAACAATTACCATGTCTAAGTTCTTTTAATTCCTCTCTTCCCTTTGGCGGATAAATGTAATTTCCAGTTGTTCAGCAACAAAGTTTCAACTACAGATCTGATGTTCTTATAACATTTTCAGTTGCTAGGCATATAAATGAAGACATAAATTTAATCTTATTTGTAGAAAAATTGTTTGTATATTCTCATGTATTCTTTGGTTCACAGTTCCTCTTGAGATGCCAGTTCTTATAAAAGAACATTTCAATAGATGGTATTCATTACGATCTTATTATTTAGCAATCACAGTTTCTGATATACCATTTCAGGTTAGTATGATGTATTTCAACATAGACAAAATTAGTGTAGATGAAGGCTTCCATGTCCCAGAAACAATACAGTTTTTGCTGTCCAGGACATATCCTAAGCAATTTTGCCAGTGTTTTAGTTCTCATGCTATGACCTTCATTGAGCCTGTACGAATTCTCGGAATGACAAACGAAACCCTGACAATATTGCCTAGGATGCAGCATCTCCCTTAGTTAAAATAAGTGTCCTGTAATTTTATTCAAGTTTTTATTAATAATTTACTTGAAATACAACTGGGATTAAAGTGTTCAATTTAATTTTGCAGGCAATATTTTGTGTAATTTATGTGGCAATAGTCTACTATTTTACTTCACAACCCCCTGAAATGTGGAGATTCGCCATGTTTTTAGCAGCATGTCTATTAATTTCCTTTGTTGCCCAAAGTGTTGGTCTAGTGGTTGGTGCAGCAATGAATGTACAGGTTTGTACTTCATCCTAACTTATTCCACTTGAACTTCCAAACGTTTCATGTATTTAATGTGTGTATTTTTCAAAATATTTTTACAGAATGGTGTGTTCTTGGCTCCTGTAATGTCTGTGCCATTTTTGCTATTTTCTGGATTTTTTGTGAGTTTTGATGCTATTCCTATTTACCTTCGTTGGATTACATATCTGAGTTATATTCGTTATGGTTTTGAGGGTACTGCTCTTGCAACATATGGTTATGAAAGAGAGAAGCTCAAATGTCACCAAGTATGTATAATAATTAATCAATTGTATTTATGTAGGTAGGAAATAAATTAATAAATAAGAGTGCTAACATTTGCTTATGTGTTCTAGGCATATTGCCACTTCAAAGCCCCTGAAACTACTTTGGAAGAGCTTGACATGTTGAATGCAGACTTTACCATAGATATTATTGCTTTAGTTGTCATTTTCTTTGTTCTTCGTATTTCTGCGTTTGTCTTCTTACGCTGGAAACTGATGTCTCAACGATGAAGAAAGAATGAGAAGAAAATAATCATTTCCAAATTCGTTTCTGTTCACCACAGAATGTTAGCAAGGGGCTTTGGATTTTAATTGTTTTTCAGTATATTATTTTTTAAATGTGTTTTTATACTAAATACACATATGGCATTACCACTGTTAAAATTCATGCACTGTTTGTGTTTCTTATAACTTTCTATCCTCTTGTTGACTTTGGTGATTAAAATAATTACTTTTGTCTGAAAAGAAAACTATATAAAAGTGAACACCTGAATATTCTTCATTTTATACTTAAATGATGTGATGCATCGAATAGAAGAATTTTTGTATTAAGGTCTCTTAAGTGATGTGTTTATGTTCTCTTAATGTGCAGCAGCAGTAGTAGTAGTAGTAGTAGATGTTAAAATCATACAGTACAATTATCATCTATGTTATGATTTTTTGTCCACTATTTCTTTTTAGTTATGATACTAAAATGCGAAGTGTCTGTTGAATCCTGTATAAATACTCTTTGCTCAACATACATAATATTATTTAATGTCCTACACGTTCACCTTTTCTCCTGCAGATGGTTTTGAGAATGTAAAGATTTAGTTCAGTAGGAACAAAGCAGGTTACTTCAATACATTTTCATGTGACTATATTTTCTTCTTGCCTAAATGTTCAAAGAAGTTACAGAGGAAAAAGCTGTTGTTCTTCTGTAATGTAACAGTTCATTCCTTATCAATAGCAAGAAAAAGAAAATTCATCCCTGGTCTACCCTTTACCTTGTTTTCAATGTGTGTCCACATGGAACATCGAAGGTCCATGTTGATTAAGCAAGTTCGTTCGATTGTATTACTCTAGTACAATTACCAAGCAACTTCCGTGTTTGTATTGTGTTATTTTAAATTTTTATACATCTTTACATAATTTGTTGCTTTTTGTATGACACTATAACTTTATTGTAAGTATTGAAAATACTATATTCAGAGTAATGGGGTGAGGAATATTTTAGAATTTGCATCTGCAAACTCATGACAATATTATCAGGGTACATAAAATATTTTGTGTGTGATAACTTACTGGACATTTCTATATAGATAACATTTCAAATTTTCCATGTGGGAAAGCTTTTATGAGGTAATTCAGTTTGTGGAGTGATTTAAAGTTTTGGAGTGAGTAAAGAACATTATTCTAATTGGAATTGTAAATGCAGTAAACATTTTTTTACCCATTCACTGTTTCAAAAATTAAAATTTTTGAAGTGTGTATTTTACAAGTTACTGTAAATTTGAATTGGGGTGTAAAGAATCATTGACACACATTCCTCTTATATCAAATGTTCCAAGGAAGATTCATAAGTATGTGATTGTTTAAATTGTATCATATTCATTTTGCATTGTATTATTTTGTATCTTAAATATTGCAATGTGCCCTTACTTGTTGAGATGTCCATTGTATAGGCATTTATAATATAATATATATTTATACATATATTTTTGTAGAGAATATAGTTATATTTTGAAAAAGTTTATGAAAACTTCTCAACTAATTGTGTGAATTGGAGAAAACTTGTGATGGTGACAAGGGAACCAAAGGCAAAGGAATAAGCCTCTTTTTTCTGGACATTTGTTCAGTTACTTGGGGAAGAAATCATTTATTTTAATGGTGCTCATTGAGATGTATTTTATTTATAAATGTGAATAAACTTATTCTATGAAAAGTATGGAATATTAATTTTTATTACATTTTGATCTTAAGATAATAAATAGACTTTTCTCATCATGATGTTTTGCCCCCCTTTTCTTTTCCCTGTCCTTCCACTTTATCATATTCTTATTTCTATTTTAATAAAATGTGCAACTAGCAAAAAAAATTGTGCAGTGGCTCCTAAATAGTTGTTGATAATATAGAGTTGATATAATATAAACAAACTTAATAGTAGCAAATTTTCTGATAAACATCTAATTCACACCAATGTGTACATAGTTTATAGGCGTTTTGCCAAATTGATATCCCTTGATTCATCTAGCCAAACTTGAAGTCCTGTGAATAAGAAAGGCATAGGTATTTTGATTTTGGGATTACTTTACATGAAGGCTCAACGACACTTTCAAAATTCGATTAAACTGGCACCATCACAATCTGTTACCACAAAAATAAATATGCCACCATGTACAATGATTGACTTGCTAATTAACTGTGCAAAAAGTTATGTAAATTGCTCTCCAAACATCAATGTAAGTAATGGTGGGCTAATGAAAGACTTTGGCTGCCATAGTGCTGGGCATGGGCAGACCGGGCGATCCATGTACTCTCGGGAGTGATTGCCAGGGGCCCAATGATGGACTGAAGGAAAACAATTAGTAAAAAATTAAAAAAGGAATTAAAACTCAAGAAAATCATTATCATAATTTTATAAATTGCGGTACAGTAATCTGATATTTCATCAAATTTTCAATTATTTTGTTAACTTAAATATTTAATTATAATCATTACTTAGGGATTGTCTGTAAACTACGTAATGCTGAAGAGTAGGGGGTTTGAGGCAGCATTACACTGCGTTACAAAGGGGCAGGGGGGTCATAGTTTAGTGTTACATGTTACTGATATTTATTTTTTAAATCTTAAAACCATTTGCTGAAATAATTCCTTCTATTCAGTTTTGTACCAAAACATTTTCATATTAACAAATTAAATTAAAAATATAATAATTGAAAGAAGTTATATTTTATAAATAGTTACAATAAACGAAAAGTTTTCATCAATGATATTGAATCTTTTAGATTACAAAGAAATGATTGAAAACTGATCTATAGTATATTCTAGAATCCAATTAGTTGGTGCAGTAGACTCTGAGTCTATGCGTCATCATAACATGTGCATGGCTTGTCAGAAATTTTCTGGCCTACATGTCCTTCCTTCATTAAAAAATGTTCCCCAAACTTATTGTTGTGAACAATCCGAACCACCAACTAATTCTCACGTTAATTATAATAAAATTCTATGTATAGAACAAATGCAATTAATACAGCTCATTTCTGCTTTATAATTGAGTTTTACTTATGAGTATGGCGGGGGGGGGGCTTATCGCAAGCGTGACGTAATTATTAAAGGGGAGTTTAAGTGCGTGTTACAGGGGGGAGAGGGAGGACAAAATACTCAAAATTTACGTTACGTAATTTATGGACTGCCCCTTAAAACTATTATTTAAAATATGTTTCCAAAACCTTTTTCTAGCTTCAACGTAAGTTTTGTTATAAGTTGAAATAAAAAAACTCATAAAGGTTTCACATTTTAAATTTTTTCGGAGGGGGTGACGATTCAGCATTGCCCCAGGCTCAAAATTGTCCAGCTCCGGCACTGCGCTGGCACCTCCACAACTGAATATTACAAAAACAAATATTCCACTTGTAGAACGATTGAATTGCTATTTAAGTACATAAAAATAATTTAATTGTCCTTGAAACTTGGGTTAATTAATTTTGAGCTAGTTTTGAGACTTCAGCTGGTATTAGCACAGCCGACACAAAAACAAATTTGCCACCATTTAGATAGAACGTGTTAGAAAGATTATTTTAATTTCTGTTCAGTTTGTGTGTGTGTGTATTTGATGTATGTCGCCTAACACGAGAATGTACCATGATGGAGGCCTTGAGCAGACGCGGCTTCCGCCCCCTCCCCCCTCCCCGGCACGCTCAGCGACCTTGGATCAACCCAGACCGTTGACAGTAGAGTTACCCACCACAATGTGACAGTGGGGTTTGTGCCTTACCGTCAGCAATATCGATCTTCTGCGCATGCGCAGATGCACTAAAATTGCGCTAAACTTGAACTGCGCATGCGTGGGAGATCCATAGTGCTTTAAGGTTCGAGGTAGCATAAACTGCTTAATCACTTTCCGATTAGAGTCCGAATGAGCCCGGGCACTGTAAACTGAATCGATCGTGATAGTTGTGCACACATACTTCCACAAATATATTATATTGTTTTCTTCTTCATCATCATCATCATCATCATCTTCTTCTTCTTCTTCTTCTTCTTCTTCTTCTTCTTCTT